GCTGGTTACAATAATTATTTTTTTCCGCGAAATTTAAATTGGTGCGCGAAAATGATATTTAATCTTTAGCGACTTTTTCAAACTATTTTTTGTAGTGACAAACAGACAATTCGAGGTAAGCACTAAGCAGTATGTTTACATGATACATACAAATAGCATATTTACATGAGTTAAATGTCTTTTTACTCCTATTTTCTGGTCACTGGCTACACACGTAGTTTCGTAGCCGAAGTGGGGTGGAGGGGGTGTTCAAAAGAGATGGGCGTTAGTAACGTTCTCTACATTTGGTGGAGGCTCTCCCATGCACTCGGAATCAACCATAATATCGTGCGTGCAATTTAAAGAAGTGAGATATTTTGTGTTTAGCATTCATTGAAATAATATAAGTTGAACAATACAACGCAATGCAATGCATACACAAACGAAAACAATAAAACAACAGCATTGCATGCTATATTTACAATAGGAAAAGTCATTCCAAACTAGCGAAATTCCATCGTTTTAATTATATTTATTGGAAACTGCTCGCACATAATAAAATGTTTACTACCCATACCCATATACAATACCCTAGACAATGTTTACTATCCGTATTTCAATTTTTCAAAAAAGGAAAAGTGACCCAGATTAATATAGTGGGACATCTCAGCGGAGGTCACCGAAAATTTGGTTTAGGACCCTGTTTACATGATTCCGGAGTAGCGAACTATCCCAGGACAATAATTCATTTGGTTCAAAAATCCTAGTGTTTATATGATATCGGCGTAAAATTGAAAATTTGTTATGAAGGGAATTTTCTTATTTTTTCATAAAACAACACTTCTTTTAAACTAAAAAAAGAGCGTACGAGATTTATTGAAATAGTCCCTAAGGGCTCTTTAAGGGATGTTTTTTGTTTTTCGAGGTGTACGAGATTCGAAGTGATACAAACTTTGCTTTTATATTCCTTGATACAACGCAACAGCGTTGTGATCTGATCGTGTGAACGCCTTAGTGATTCACTAAAGATTAGACACTAGATTCACTAGAAATCAGAGACAATTTAGACCCTGGGACTCGAATTTGCCCCAGGATCATGTAAACATGCTCTTAAGAACACTTGAAAATCTAACCAAAACACGGAAAAACGTCTTTGCAAAGAATGTTTTTGTAATTTACAGAACACAAGTTAAATTTAAAAACTCCTTTTAAGGGTGCCTATTATGAATAGGCTCTTAGGATTTTAATGCTCTGCAGGTACGTTCTTTAAGACACAATTGTAGACGTCTGGTAAGCGCAAACATCAGCGGCTTAACAAGAGGCGATGCTTTCGAGTATTATCTTCCCAAAGTGAAAAAAATGAGAACAGCAACAACGGTTAACGGAGTAGTTTCACCAGACGATGACACAGACCCCTTCACATTGAATTCAATACCACCCGAGGGGCAACTTAAAGAATGGAAAGAAGAAATGGTTAAACGTAATGGTCAAACTTGTCATGCTGAAACACCATCTGGAAAATTTAGCTTCAGCTCTATTCAAAACATGCTAAAGATTCATGAGATAAAAAATATAAAGGCCGCTGTTGAACAAGAAATCGTCTGGTTCTCCCAGGAATATTCAAAACCACGAGGTGTCACTCAATATCCTCCAGCCACGACTATAACGAATTTCCAAAAGATGCTATATTCAAATAAGTATGACGAAGCCATTCGCCCGCATGGGATAACACCAACTGAGTTATCAATGATTTGTGCGAATCGTTGGCTGTCAGATGACCATATAACGTAGCTTATGAAGGAACTAACCGACTCAGTAGCTGAAACTTACTGTATATTCTTGAATGGTGTTTTAAAGACAGACCCAAAGCAATTTCGGAGATTTCGTTGTCGTGATAATTTACCGAGCAAAGTTTTATTCTCCATCAATCTTGGTCTTTCTCATACAGGTGACACATATTTTGGAACTGATCGCACGCCTGGTTGTCACTGGACAATCTGCCACATAGACACTGTTGAAAAAAAAATAATATATGGAGATTCACTGGCATGGAATTATCCTAAAAGTCTTCTGGAGAAAGCGAAAATGTACATAAAGGCTATCTTACCAACAGATGACGTTGCTAATTACACCATTTTTGTTTGTCACGATCCGTCTTCTACTGCCTCTGGCACCCATTTTTGCAGTGGATCTTGCGCAAAGCTTTATCCGCTTCAAACATGCGGTAGCATATGTGGTGTGGTTGTCATGGTCATGGCTGCAATTGCATGCCATAACCCTTTATATTTCAGCCATTTGTCAACAAGACACAACCAGGTCCCCCCAACTGTATTCCTTCAAACTCCTTCCACATACAACAAATACCTTCGTCTTGTTATAGCATCATGGATTGTAGAAAATTCTGTGAACACTTCCTACATCATTCCCCTTCAAGATAAATCCACATTAAATGCCCCTAGTGGTAAAGAGAAAGAGACATATTGTAAGTCAAGTGGATGTACAGGATCTGAAAACATTCATGGCCAGAAATGTCAGTCATTTGAGCCCGCGAGCGTATGCGGTCGCACGCAATATTCTATTTAAATGGCCAACAGAAATGTTAACATTTCATAGGAAGATGGAATTCAAAGTGTGATATAACTAAAACAAATAATTCTTTTCGATTTGCCAAAGTTAATTATTATTGCGCCATTGAGGTTGAAAATATTTACGAAAAAATATATACGAAACAATAAAACCGTACCTTTCCCCTCGATTGATTTCCACTAGCTGCACACCAGTCAGTCAAACCTCTAATAATGCTCCGTAATTAGGGGGAAAATTGAGAAAATTCCAATGTTTGAGGTGAAATATTCAAGTGACCATTAATGCCATGAGATTTGCCAAAGTTGATCCATGAAATGCAGATAATGCTTAACTTGATTTCGAAGATTCAATAAATCTCAGCTAAATCGTGCCTTTCCCTTTTGCTTTTGAATCTTGCCCATATTCACGCTGTTCTGTACCATGAATTTTGCCACATTTTATCGAAGTTTTCGTTGAAAAAAGCTGGGTTCAACACGAAATATATGGCATGTTTGTTATTGAAATCCTCAACAAAATCTCAGCTTTCTGAATCCGTTTTCTGCTAGTACAGCAGTGCTCCCCCATTCGCGCATATGCTCTCCGAGAAAAATCCCAAGCGCGGTTAATTGCGCGAAATTTAAAAGTTGTTTTTATATATACTTCAAAACTTCGCCAGTTCGGAGGGCTTTCTTCGACCGAAAGTCTTTAAAAATGTAAGATTTACTTTCTTCTTATGATATGGAAAGGTTCAGCCATCAGTTTTCTATTAATTCGGAGCATTGTCTTGATTATATTCATAAACAAATCGTTAATCAAGATGAATTATTCATGACCATACACGTAACTAATGAATGTTTGAAAAGTTGGTACGAATTCAAGAATGAATTTCGCGTAATCCAGCCGACATTTGTGGATATCCTAAATGCATTTTTGGGAGAAAATCATGCCATTCTGATTAAGAAAGATTGTGCAAGAATAGAAGATCATATAAGAAAACTTACTTCGACAGCGAAGACATCTTTTAGAGGACTGAAAGGACATGCCTATATCAAGTTTGCAAATAGAGTAAAAAAGATTGCTATAAGACGCACCGAAGTTCAATCGATTGCTGAAATTGAGCAACAGTTACATCACCAAATGGAAAATAATAAAATACTAGAGGAAGAAAACGAACGTCTGCGACAGCGTTGCGAAGTCACCTATCAAAGTTTAATTCAAGCTGTTCAACAAAAGGATCAAGCAGAAGAGAAAACAGAGGAATTGCAAGGACACCTGGAAAAGCTCACGAAAACGAATGATCATTTATATGGGTATATACAGAAAGTAGAGGAGCTACAAAACCTGGAAAACAACTCAAAAAAAATTGATGAGTTGCAGGATAGGCAAAAGCGTCGAAAAATAAAAGAATTAAAGACAAAGGTGGAGAGGACACTATGGTTTGCAGAGACATTCGGTCTAACATTAAGTTTAGTGGAATTCAAAGATGATAATGGCATCAACCACACAATGGAATTTCAGGGTGCAGATAAAGGTTCTGAATAGGACTTCTCAGAGCTTTATGAAATGCTTCACGAAAGTAGTCCCTCTGATGATCATGTTAATATATATTTCCAAAAGGTAACCATAGAATATATAATATACACATAAATGCAAAGAGATCACCTGACCTTATGTGGAATGTAATCAGGTTTTGTTATTTTTAGGCAAAGGCATGGGTATCTCTTTTCACATCACTTAGTGGGATACTAGAAGGTTATAATAAGGCAAAAGTTACACCATATATGCATGGAATGGTGTACCATGCTCCCAGGTTCATGGCAAAACATCAGGGAATTAAAAAATTTACTTGCCAGGGTAAGGTATATTGGTTAAGTTAAATACTAAGACTTGAGGTCTTGAAATGTTTAGGTAGCATCATTGTCAATTTTCCCCCCCCCTCTCTAAATGCAGTTTATAGTCACAGGGCTTGGATCAAAATTTAGGTATCTATAAGCTGGTGTTAATCAGATAATGAGCTCAGTATAATTGTACACTCTTGTATTTCAAAAAGGTGTTGAGAAGAATAATGATGATATCAGACGCATACATCTCCGAAAATCTAACAAATGGGATGCGGCAAAAGATGTTCTCTTAGTGAGTAAAAGTCTTGAAGCACTTGTTGAGCAGGAGAGAAAACCACGAATGTATAGGAAACGAAATTCAGACTACTGGGAAAATGAGATCAAAGAAAAACGTGCTGCTAAGAGAGAAAGTATCAAGACTGCAATTAATCCACCTATTGTTGAAAATATGGGTGTTGTCATAGCTAACATGACAGCTGAAGATATTAAAGCTAAACTGAATGAATTAGGCACCAAGACAAGGCTTCGAAACCTCAAAAGACTTCAGGAACTTCTTGAAGATGTGTTAAAAAACTCTTCATAAAACTGATTACAACATACAATATGTTTAAACATTTATGCATGCAGGTTATTGAAATTGCATGGTTTTTTTACAACTGTAATGCAGAGCTTCTCGAGAGGAAATCTTTTGCCTTTTGTTAATTTGCCATCTTTTTTTACAAAATGTTCAGATGACCAGGACAATAAATGTTTAATTTTGATGGGAAAGTCTACTGCATATCCTTCCCCATGTAAATTCAGAAAATACCACCAGTACTCAGGTAACCATTTAAAGTTGGTAAAATCTTCTTGCTTAAATAAGAGATGTCCACGATGTTCGGATTGTGTTCCTCTATTAAAGATGATAAATCTCCATACATCTAATTGCATGGAAACATATATTGGGGATACTGAGGAACTCTTTAGAGCAGAGTGAATACCAGTAACAAATTGGCAACTTGCTTCCTGAAGTTTTTCATCAGTTGGTCTAATAGGGTTGGAAAAGCTTCTACATAAAAAATAAAATATGCATTTTTCAATAAATTTTAAAACTTTATAAATACACATTTACTATGCTCGCTTAGTAGTCAGAGCATTGCAGCAGCTTCGCAGGGATTGTGGGTTCAATTCCTGCCGGAGGACCAAAAGCACTGGCTTGAATTTAACATGTGTATGATTTCCATTCAAAATTAAGGCCCATTTGGCCCTCTAGAATTTATCCTACATCAAGTAAAGTGCCACAAAATCATAATTGATTTACCCTCACCTATTGACAGGCATTATCACTAAATACACATTTACTTCACTTGCTCTTGTCAGCTACCCCCATAGCTTAGTGGTCCGAGCATTGCACCGCATCATATGTAATGTCATATCTTACCTTAGAAGATCCGGTGTTAGGTTTTCAGAAGGTTCCCAGCTACAATCTTCTAGTGGCCATCCACGCCATTTGATTAGGTATTCGTAGTCCTAAGCATTGGGCAACACACAATTATTTCTAACTTTAGTGATAAACATACAAATTAACTGGCCAGACAGCATTCCATGGTATATGACCTTAGATCTCTGGTAATGTAGGTTACAAAAATCCTGACTTTATGGCCTGAGAACTCAGAAATTATTTGACTCTAGAAACTTACATGACGCCTTATTCGCCTTTGAATTATCCGTTCGGCTTCATAGTATGGTCCAATCTTTCGCTTTTTCCCAATAGAATCAAAAAGAACGACTGAAGATTGGGCATTTAATCGTCGATAATCAACTGCAAGTTGGCTTCTTTTACCCGCCATATTTGCCTATTAATATTGCGTAAGCCATAACCGCTGAAATTCTGAAAGACGCGCAGGCTCAAATGACCGACATTTCTGGCCATGGTACAAAAAATGCGCGTAGATAACAATGACAAACACAAGTGCTCTTCAGTTCAGAAAAGTGCGAAGCAAAAAACAGAACCGAAACTCCAACCTAAAACGGAAGAAATTTGTGAAGACTGTAATGCATCCCCAGATGACAAGGACCACGACTACAACTCCTCGTCTTCACTTCGAAGTTGCAAGGCTGAACAAGAATCGGAATTTCAACCCAAATCAACTAAAGGAGAAAAGAAATTTCAGTGCGGCTATTGTCACTCAAGTTTCACCACCAACTTTTCGTTCCGACGACATATGCAATCTCGACATCCAACTGCGACAGCTGACCTTAATGGCAAAACCGAATGTAACAGCTGTGGATTTAAATGTCACAGGATTTGTGACCTGAAAACGCATCTTTCACAACAACAAAACGTTATTTTCATAAATGAATCTATTACACTAGATAACGTCAACGGTAAGAGCATAATAAATAATCAAATTAATTCACAATTTTGTACCATAAAAACTCTAGGAAAGTAGGTAATCCATTATTTGCAGATTGCATACAATTAAAAAGCAAGCAATATACACTTTTAATGTCAGTGCCGCAAAAAAATAACTGTAAATTAGTTTAATTGCTCAATTATTTCCATTCTAGAATTTGAAGATTGGAAACAGTCATTGGAAGAAAAGGGGTGTTGCTCGTTTGTCAAGGCAACTGGTGCAAAAATAGTGGAAGTGTACAATATTACAAATGCAATCGTGGTGGGCACTATAAATCGAAAACAACAGAGAAACGACGAACAAAATCTCAAGGTACGACATCATAAATATTAGTACTTATTATACAAATATTTTACTTCTTGTGCTCCCGATATATATATATATATATATATATATATATATATATATATATATATAATTATATATATATATATATATATATATATATATATATACGAGAAAGTGCAATGAATGGAACAGACGAATTCACAAGATATCATTTAACAGACAAGAAGGATGTAAGCAATATTGTGAAGTCATTTGGATTAAGTCAAGTCCAAAAACATACAAATGATCAGGAAAGTGTCAGGTCATGGCTGGAAGAATGGGCAGCAAGCGAGAACAGCCCTGTTCTTTTTTGCAAATTTCAAGGCGAAGATTCACCTGAAAATGTTGACTTACTCAAGGAAGATTTTATGATAGTATTACAAACACCTTTTCAAAAATTGATGGCAACAAAGTTCGCTGTAAAAGGAGTATGCATTGACACAACGCATGGAACCACGGGGTATGATTTCCCCCCCTAACAACAGTCATGGTAATGGATGAGCAAGGTGAAGGGTTTCCAATAGCTTGGTGTTTGTCCAATCACGAAGAATTTACGCATATGTGTATTTTCTTCGGTTTGTTGAAGCAGAATTGTGGTATCTTGACGCCTCGCTGGGTTATGTCTGATTTGGCAAACCAATTTAATAATGCATGGGTTGAAATAATGGGAGGTAATCCTCAAAAACTTGTCTGTACTTATCATGTTGACAAGGCATGGCAAGAGGAATTGAGAGCCAAAGTTCACGATAACGTCACTGCTGCTGAAATTTATAAGATGCTAAGGACCGTACTTCAGGAAACGGATAAACTTAATTTTCAGGACTATTTACATCAACTGCTTGAGCAACTACCATCGCTTAGTCCCGAATTCTACGAGTACTTTAAAAGGGAGTGGTTCGACAGAACAGAGATATGGGCATACTGCTTTCGACTGGGTATGTGCATAAATACAAACATGCTGGTAGAGGCATTCCACCGCGTATTTAAATACAACTACCTTAAGGGTAAAGTAAACAAAAGAGTTGACAAATGTTTAGTAAACCTTCTCAAGTATGTCAGAGACAAATACTTTGAAAGGGTAATCAAACTAACCAAGGGGAAGAGTTGCCATAAGCAACGTCTAATCCAGGATCGCCACAACAAAAGCAGGGCTATGACAACCGAAGCTGTTGAGGTACTTGATGACTTACGATGGAAAGTTTGTTGACAGAACGGAGAAAACATTTATATTGTTTCAAAACAAGCAACCAATTGTGCAGGCACCACTTGTCAGATTAAATGCCCAGAATGCAATATTTGTATACACCAATATGTATGCAACTGTCCTGACAGCCTAATCCAAAGTACGATTTGTAAGCACGTACATCTTCTTCAGCTTTTTTACTACTAAAGCATAGGACTACGGAGAATGGCGACGATTGTGGACTAATTCCAGACATCAGACGCAACGATGAGAGCAAGTATAAAGATACGGAAGTCAAAATTGTAGTAGCAGAACATCTTAAACAGGACGCTGGCCCACCGAAAGACATCCAAGCATTCAGGCTGAGATTAAGGCAAAAACTGATTGTTTTAGCTGACATTGTGTTGACTTGTAACAACAAATCTTCATTGCAAGAACTTGAAAAGCAACTAAGTTCAGCATCCCACCTTTTCAGTTCAATGAATAAGCACAAGCCTCTAGAATATCTTGAGGTTACCTGCCAATTTCCAGGAAACAAAAATATTGAAACTCAGCTTCGTTTCCATTCAACAAAGAAGAAGAGAAAGCTTCCAAAAAATATCCGTTTCAGTAAACCAAGTAGGGCAGAAATCGATAAATTATTTTCGAACAAGGAAGGTAAATGAATTAATTACAGTACTAGTATTATTGATAGAATGCGATGTGACATGTGTTATTTCACACGAACTGGGAATAGTCAAGAAAGAATACGGGAAAGGGAGGCTTTGAGGCTAAAGGTGTGTTGTGATGCACACTACATTTAAATGCCAGAAAATTAGGAAACTATTTAAATTATCTAATAACTGTGTAAAAGAATCTATATAATTGCCAAGTAGTGTATTTGTATGTGCAATCATTATATAAGTGGAAATATTTCTGTTTTCAGACTTTGACTCCATGTTAAGGTGGTTTGGTGTGCCAGTTGCCACAATTATAAAAGTGAACAGTCCAGGCAGCAAAGTGTATATGCTTCAAGTAAAAGACATTAATCTTGATGGTGAACATCCACCCGAAGAAGCACTTGGCAGTGATATCACACTAATGAAGAAGCATTGTACAAATGGATGCATTGTACAATGCATGGTAAAAGATTATTGACTCATGTAAGCAAATTTTTTAAAGAAAGATTATCACCAAGTGTTGAGTACTAGTTTTGAATTAGCATATTTATTATAGTCACTGCTCTTAAAGAAGAATGGAAATGTAACACTTGCAATACCTCTAATTATCAGAACATGATAATGTGTGATGATTGTGAAAGCTGGCACCACTGGTAGGATGAATTTTCTTTCTTTAAAGAGTTGCACTGTATAACATAATTAACATATTTTATAAGTTCCCATTCAAAATTATGACAAAACATGTTCAAGTACCCATTCATGAAACATTTATATATTTGACAATGAAGGACCTGTGTGAAGGTGGAAGAGGAAACAGATGAGTGGTACTGTCAATTGTGTGAACACTTACATACTTAATCCTCAGCCTCAGGTCCTGTAAAGTGCATTAATGTAAACACTAGCCTATACAGGTTTTTACCATTGTATGAAATTTTATAATAGCCTTATATGTTTCTGTATCTTACAGGTGTTTGTGCTTACAGTATGTTTAACACAAAAGAAAAGACTAAAAAGTAGACATTCCTGAATACTGACAGATCTCACGCATTTCTCAGGAAAGTAGTTTCACTGGGTTAAGGCCCTGTTACATGATGCAATTTTTCTTGCAACTTGCAATGCAATTCTTCTTTTGAGAGATGTAAATTTGGCAACTACCAAACGTTTATCTTTATTACACTCCATGCCGTTTAATACACTTACATTTTTAAAACTCTTCACTAATTTACATCTGTTAAAAGTAGAATTACATTGCAAGTTACAAAAAAAATAAAAAATTGCACCGTGTAACAGGGCCTTTAAGGAAAACAATGACCTTTGAATAGCCGCAGAACACACACTTTTTATCACTACAAAAATTACTTAAAAAGACATTTTCAACCTGTATTAATGTATTATTATCACACTTACCTTTAATAAATTTGTATTCAATGACTTACCCACTGTATAGAAAGAATAGCGGTATTATTTCCTTGGGTGAAAACTTTATGTAATATGCATTATAGTAGATGTGCGATTCCTGTATTTAGCTGTAAGTGTCAAAAACTGTTTTACTCTCGGTTACCTCTGGAGTCGCCTGTCTAAAATTGAGTTTGTTTTATTCTCATATGTAATTTTAGCATTGTTAATTAGTGACATTTCGCGTCACCAGACATGTCACCTATATCGTATTGCAAAGTTTAGTGTCTCACTAAAAAGCCAAAATCCATAACACCTTTGTCTCTCTGACGGTTCGTGACAACGAAAAATCCGCTCACGAAAATTGCTCGGCAATACGAAGTAACATGGACGCAGCTGCAAAAAAGAATTTCAGATGTCCCATATAACTTCAACCACCTTTTCCCGGATGATATTGAGACCTTTTTACGCCACAAAGCTTCGTCAATAAATAGCTCCATTGGATACATTGTATCCGCCCTGCTTTCAACAACATCGTTTTTGTCAGCAAAAAATGGTTGTACAGTTGCTACTGTTACTCACGAGCAACCAATGAACACTTACACGATATTTGTCGGTAATCCGGGCACTGGCAAATTATCGCCAATTCAACATGGTTGTTTGGGGCCCCTTTAGTCTTTGTTCGACGACGAGTTCGCCAGCTTCGTTCTTGACAAACCTACTTCATCCGGCCTCGTTAAACACATTTCAACGAAGCAATCGGCCTTCATGGTCTCTCCCGAAATATATGACGTCCTGAATAAATTGCTGAAAAATGATGAAGACAACGCGAGCGGTGACGCAATGTTTCCGTGTAAACTATTTTCCGG